ATTAAGGGGAAAAAACAATTGCCGAATATGTTACATCTTCTTGTTGTGTGATTGTTTGTTCTCGTTCGTATTTGTTGGGTGATTGTTTGTTCTTGTTCGTATTAAGGGGTTTTGGATACTCTGAACAAATCCCGATGGAAATAAGTATACTCTATTGTAGAGCTTATTAGTTTTTTAGGTTATACTACATAGCCAATGCCATTTTCATGAGAAAAGGCGTAATTACTGATGACAATTATGATGACAGAAAGGTGAATTTCATAGCTTATCTCTTAGAATAACATCAACCATTCAGAATAAACAAGTATTTGCATAAACTCACAGAAAATTAATCTACTTACAGTCCACTTAATACTTTGATGGTGTCATAAAAGAACCATTGCAATGTTATAACTGGTCCCACAAGTGTGATCCGAATAGGAAGGCTTCTTGTAAACAAATTGGCAAAACCAATTTTCTTCACAGCCTGCATTTATTAGATTTATATCATCAAAAATTCAATCCAACTATAAAATAAGGAAAACCATATTGAGCAAATATTACCTCCATGATACTGTTAGCCTTCTTATTGTAAAGTGAAGACACAATATTATCTGCAGGATTTGAAATGAAGGTACCAACTGCCCCAGATGCATAACCAGCTATACAAGTCACCCCGAGTTGTTGAGCTCTTGAACATTCCTCCTTTCTCTTTTGAATAAGCTTACGATATAAGATATCCACAGAGTGCTCAAAAGACGAGAACATTATCATAGCAACTGCACAGATATACGGATTTGGAAGTTAACAAAGTGAATCCTGAGCAGAAAGGAATTGCTACTTCCTATAAGAACAAAGCAACAGCAGATGACTACAAAACTCATTGCACATGCCAGAATCAGTATCAGTTCGAAGGTAATACTGCATTTACAAGAATATGATACTTGCAGTTCTGTAGCCATTTTTAGAGAAAATATATAGCAACCAGCAAATGATGAAAATACTGCACGGAAACCTAAAACAACTTGGTAAGAAAGCAAAATGAACCTGAACTAACCTGTAGTCCACAAGAGACTTTGAATCTACAAAGTAATAGACTTAAGTTTACTGAAGAAATGAAGAAAACATTACTATTCAAGCATTGTCTTTAGCCTATTTATAGATGCAAAACAATAAGACCACTCAATAATAAATCTCAACTTCTCATCAAACGAAAACAAATAAATAAACCTACTACAGAGTAGATGCTAAAATTTTCAACTCAAGTCTAAAATATTAAACATCCTTGCTAATCAGGATGCTCCAAGTGGTAAATCATGTTGCCAAGTTTGGTTCAACTGACTCTTAGAACCCTGTCCACAATCAAAAGGCATACAAAGATCTTTTTCATGGACATTGACCAATCATCGTGTTTGCTGATCATGTATTTAGGAATTATAGGGTTCAAACACTTTGACCTTTGGTACATCTCAAACTTCCTGTAGGAATTATGGTCAACTACCTTACAGTACTGTCATACTAAAAAATGTTCATGCTCCACCAAATGTTTCGATAGCAACGCCCTCATGACTTCGACAAATTCTTATTTCTCATGCAAAAACTAAAGGATGAGTGCTTTATTACCTTATGGATGTTCTTCTTTAACCATGTGTGTGCATGTGTGCATGGGTGCGTGGGTGTGTGCACACGCATGTAGATTCAGATACTTTTCAAATCTGACTTTCACAAGTCATTATCTTCCAAGCTTTTATGTTTGAATTCTCCTCATAATTTGATAGAAGCATTATAAGACTGAAGATCTTCGTCCCAGAGTTCTCATCATGATCAAGAGTTACTTTGGCCTTTTTGCTGCCATGATCACTATGTCTAAGACCAATTCCTATCATCAAGTCGCTGACTTCCCAATAGTGGCCTGCATCACTTGCCCATCTCTTGAACATTGTTGTTTCATCTCTTGCAACATCTAGTAAAAACACTTACCTGAATTCTTACTGGCTAGGTCTTTTAACAAAGTCTTTGCAGGATTATCACTTATGGGTTTTCCAATGCTTCGACTATTAACCATCACACCAGTTAAAAAGGGTCAAGAAACTGAATCAGTTTGTGTTTCAATTACAGAATGAAACACACCGTTTTAAAGAATCAAAGACATACTGCTTCAGTTTCTTAGCTCTATTTAAGCTAAATAAGTACGTGCTTCATTATTTAATTAAAGAAGCCCATCGCAACACTAGGGTTCCGATACTGATTCAGTTTCTTGACCAAACTCAATTAAATAAAAATAATAATAATAAAATGAAAAAGATAAAAGAAAAGAACATATGGAACAAAGTAGTTACATGGAAGGTTCCGGCCCCACAATGGAAAGAGTCCTCTGGAAAAGCTGGAGGCAGAAACAAAAGGAAGTCGTCAAATATGATCAGAATCAAGACTTTCCTTCATAGCATTGAATACTGAACAGAATTAGTTGAACCAATAAAATATCATTTTTAAGAACCTCACCCAGATAAACCTTCTGTATTGTACACTTTTGGGAAGCCATCAACTAAGCCCTTTGCGAACTTGGGTTGAGTCTGAACACGAACTTTTACAGCTTCAAAAGGACAAAGGGCAACATCTGCAATTACTTGAGCAGATGCACTGCTAATAAAGAATATGAAATTTTGATTTTTCGCTCCTAATACATCAGAATACATCTTCTTGAAATATTCATAAAGCCCAAACCTACAGCCACCTTGAGCACCATAACCAAAGAGTTTCCCTGTCCAGCCTCTCCAAAGAGATGACAGGCCTTGCTCTTTTACTAGGATATGCAAACCGGAAAATATGCTATTATATTTGGCAGGATTAACCTAAAGTTGCATAAAAAAATATATGAAAGGGTAAATGATTCCGTATCAATAAATATCTATAGAGGTTAACAGACAACGTAAAACATGAGACATGAAAGCTAAATGGAGGCTTAACAATTAAACTGCAGAGTCAGAGAGATTGAATAAACTACAAAATTCCTTTTGCTGACATGTCATTATAAAAGATAAAAGGGTTAGCTACTAATCCACATTTAGTTTTTCTGAATCTGAATGTTAAGCATATGCTCGATATATGACTTAATGTCTCTGCCACTTAACCAAACCTCTAAACAAGGACAGTAAAGAAAATTTTACCATGGATATAGCAAATTCTAAGCCATTATATATGGATAACTAGCCCCAAACTCAGGCTTCCCTCTTCGCAGCCTTCTAATTCTCTTCACAGATTAAACTACAGTTGTGAAAGACAAAAATGACTGAATCTCATTATTCCAGACTAATGCATTCTGACATTCAAGTTCCACTAAACACATGCACATGCACATGCACCCATGACATACACACACAGGCACGAAGTCAACCGAGACTCTGTCGATTCCCAAAATGAACTGAAACCTGACTCTTAGACCCAGTAAATGTTATCTTTCTACTATTGTGGTCATACTTGATTCCTTTGAAGGATATTTGCCGAATTTTAGTTTCACGTATTATGCAGCACATTCTATAATATGACCTATCCTTAGAACGCGATGTGTTCAGTGGCAAGAGAAGCTTCTTGTGATGAAGATGAAGCCACAATTCCCATCAATCAATTTAGCTATTGCAGTGGGGGCTTCACAGACACGAATGATGTCTATACACGAGTGGAGAATAACAACACTGAATAAACACAGTGAAGACAAAGAAAACAGCACATAAGGATTTAATGTGGTTCAGTCAGTATGACCTACGTTCACGGACGAGAACAGCAGATAACTTCACTAATCACAAAAGAAAAGATTACAAAGAGGAGATCACTCTCTAACCAAAGAATCACACAAAGAAAGAGATTTCTCTTTCTATCTCTCTCTCTTCTCTCTAACTCCCATTGCCCCGATGCTTGATCTTCATTCACCCTCACCTCTCCTTTTTATAGCTTTTAAAAAATTAATAAAAAATTAAACATGATAAGTGGAATAGTGAAATTAGGTGAATTCAAAGTTGTATCAAATTTGAACTCTTCTTTTTCATTTTCAAAGTCACATTTTTTTCACAAATCTTCACCTTGACTTTGAATATGAAAATTTCTTCTCTTCACTCTTACTGTCTCGCCAGAAGCCCCTTACGGACTTAACCTCTGCTTTGTCGAACTCCAAACAATTCGAGGCAATGTTCGAACTTGCGCGAAGGTACAGGCTTCGTCATCATATCTGTTGGATTATCTGCAATACTAATTTTCTCAATCTTGATGACTTTAATTTCTCTGATAAAGTAATATCTGACATCTATATGTTTGGTTCTTTCATGATACATCTGATGCTTCGTCAAATGTATAGCACTCTGGCTGGACATCTATATGTTTGGTTCTTTCATGATACATCTGATGCTTCGTCAAATGTATAGCACTCTGGCTGTCACAAAATACCGTAGTTGGTTCTTTCATGATACATCTGATGCTTCGTCAAATGTATAGCACTCTGGCTGTCACAAAATACCGTAGCAATACCTTGGTGTAAGCCGAGATCTTTAACCAAATCTCTTAACCAAATAGCTTCTTTCACTGCTTTTGTCACTACCATATACTCTGCTTTAGTGGTAGACAATGCAACTGTCGACTATAGAGACGTCTTCCAACTAATGACACTACCTGAAAGAGTGAATATGTAACCTGTCAGGGATCGTCTCTTATCCAAATCACCCGCATAATCTGAATCTGAATAACCAAGTATTCTGCAAATCTGAATTTGTGTTCCTGTCAAAATACAAACTAATAGTAGATCCTCTCAAATATCTAAGTACGGTTTTCATAGCCTACCAATGGGTCTTTCCAGGCTTATCCATATACCGACTCACAACACTGAGTGCCTGTGAAATATCTGGACATGTGCAGATCATAACATACATAATGCTTCCAACTGCACTAGCATAAGGATCACAAGACATGTATTGCTCCTCCTCAGTCTGAGGTGACAAATCTGCTGAAAGACGAAAATGAACAGCAAGCAAAGTTTTCATAGGCTTAGCATCAAGCATACCAAATCTCTCCAACACCTTCTTGATGTATTTTTCCTGAGATAGGAATAAACTTCCTTCTCGTCTGTTCCTGTGGATCTCCATTTCTAAAATCTTCTTCGTCGCTCCCAAGTCCTTCATCTCAAACTCATGTTTGAGTTGAGATTTTAACTCGTTGATTTCTGACATATTTTTAGATGCAATCAACATGTCATCAACATACAAAAGCAAATACACAAAAACCATCATTGAGCCTTTTATGATAAACACAACTATCATATTTATTCCTAGAGTAACCATGCTCAAACATGAAAGTATCAAATCTCAAATACCACTGTCTCGAAGACTCTTTCAATCCATAAAAAGATTTCTTCAACTTGCACGCATGATCTTCTTTACCTTCAATAATGAAACCCTCTGGCTGATGCATAAAGATCTGCTCCTCAAGCTTGTCATATAAAAAAGTCGTCTTCACATCAAGTTGCTCAAGCTCCAAATTAAAATGAGCAACCATGACAAGCAACACGCAGGTTGAGGTGTGTTTTACAACTAGAGAGAATATTTTATAAAGTCTACATCTTCTGTCTGACTGTAGCCTTTAGCTGCCAAGCGTGTCTTGTACCTTACAGAATCTGTATTCGGAGCTCCTTATTTTTTCTTGAACACCCATTTACAGCCAACGATTTTCTATCCTATTAGTGTCTTTATTAACTCTCATGTCTGATTCTTGTGAAGAGACTCCATTTTTTCAGTCATCGCAACAGTCCAATTTGCAGCCTTGTTGTCACTAATAGCCTCCTTATAGGTATAAGGCTTTAGAATCTCAATCGACTTTACTATACTCAAAGCATAAGCAAGCATGTCTGCATAACGTTTAGGAGGTCAGATCTGCCTTTTTGTTCTCCCAGTGGCAATATTATACTGTTCCTCTTGTAGTGTATCAACGTCTAAAGGTAAACCTTCCTCAGTATTAACTGGTTCAATATGTGCGTCGTCAAGCACTCTCTTTGAAGCTGAGCTATCTAGCTCCACCTGCTTGCTAGACTCCTTTTTTAGTACCTGTAGTGTCAGTAACAAACTCCTTTATCGGGTGAAACATGAATTTCTTATAAAAAATAACATCCCTACTAATAATAAACTTAGGTGATTTGGGATCAGAACATCATAATCTATATCCCTTCACTCTGGTAGCATATCTTAGAAAGATAAACTTCCTTGCTCTAGTTTCAAGCTTACCATCATTAACATGAAAATAAGCAGAGCAACCAAATACTCTTAAATGAGAGTAATTAGCAGGAGCATCAGATCATACCTCTTCTGAAGTCTTAAAATCAATTGATGTAGAAGATCTGTTTATCAAATAGAAAATTGTATTGACTGTCCCAGTCTAAAAATCTTTTGACAAACCGGTATTAGAGAGCATCCACCGAGCTCTCTCTAAAAATATTCTGTTCATCCTTTCTGTGATTTCATTTCACTGTGGTGTATGCCAAACTATACGATGACGCACAATACATTCATTCTTACAGAATTGGTCAAATTCTGTGGAATAAAACTCTATCTCATTGTCGGTTCTGAGGCGCTTTACTTTCCCGTTTGCTTCTCAATCATAACCTTCTATTGCTTGAAGGTTACAAACACATCACTCTTATGCTTCAAAGGATACACCCAAACTTTTCTGAAATAATCATTAATTAATGTTAGCAGAAAACGAGCTTCACCTTTCGATGGAACCGGTCTGACCGTAGCATTTAGCTACCAAGCACGCCTTGTACCTTACAGAATTTGTATCCGGAACTCCTTTCTTCTTGAAGATCTATTTACAGCCAACGATTTTCTGTCCCCTTGGTGGTTTCACTAGCTCCCATGTCTGATTCTTGTGAAGAGACTCCATCTCTTCAATCATCACAACAGTCCAATTTGCAGCCTCATTGCCACTAATAGCCTCCTTATAAGTAGAAGGCTCTGGAACCTCAATCGATTCTGCTATACTCAAAGCATAAGCAAGCATGTCTGCATAACGTTTAGGAGGTCAGATCTGCCTTTTTGTTCTCCCAGTGGCAATATTATACTGTTCCTCTTGTAGTGTATCAACGTCTAAAGGTAAACCTTCCTCAGTATTAACTGGTTCAATATGTGCGTCGTCAAGCACTCTCTTTGAAGCTGAGCTATCTAGCTCCACCTGCTTGCTAGACTCCTTTTTTAGTACCTGTAGTGTCAGTAACAAACTCCTTTATCGGGTGAAACATGAATTTCTTATAAAAAATAACATCCCTACTAATAATAAACTTAGGTGATTTGGGATCAGAACATCATAATCTATATCCCTTCACTCTGGTAGCATATCTTAGAAAGATAAACTTCCTTGCTCTAGTTTCAAGCTTACCATCATTAACATGAAAATAAGCAGAGCAACCAAATACTCTTAAATGAGAGTAATTAGCAGGAGCATCAGATCATACCTCTTCTGAAGTCTTAAAATCAATTGATGTAGAAGATCTGTTTATCAAATAGAAAATTGTATTGACTGTCCCAGTCTAAAAATCTTTTGACAAACCGGTATTAGAGAGCATCCACCGAGCTCTCTCTAAAAATATTCTGTTCATCCTTTCTGTGATTTCATTTCACTGTGGTGTATGCCAAACTATACGATGACGCACAATACATTCATTCTTACAGAATTGGTCAAATTCTGTGGAATAAAACTCTATCTCATTGTCGGTTCTGAGGCGCTTTACTTTCCCGTTTGCTTCTCAATCATAACCTTCTATTGCTTGAAGGTTACAAACACATCACTCTTATGCTTCAAAGGATACACCCAAACTTTTCTGAAATAATCATTAATTAATGTTAGCAGAAAACGAGCTTCACCTTTCGATGGAACCTGAGAAGGTCCCCAAACATCTGAATGGATATAATCTAAAGTATCATTGGTTATGTGAACACCGATACTAAAGGAGACTTTATGGTGCTTGCTGAAAACACAATGCTCACAAAAGTCAAATTTACTGGTTTTCTGACCACAAAGCAGACATTGTTTGCTTAATACATCCAGTCTTCTCTCACTCATATGTCCCAACCGTATATGTCAGAAATGTGTAGTGTCAGAATCTGAATCATCTGAGGATGACACTGCTATAGCACCTGTCACTATACTGTCTTCAAGGATATACAGGGTATTTACCTTCTTTCCTTTCATCATAATAAGAGAGTCTTAATTAACTCTCAAAACTCCACATTGACTTTGAAAATGAAGAAAACGAGTTTAAATTTGATACAATTTTAAATTCACCTAATTTCACTATTCCACCTACTATGTTTAATTTTTTTTTAATTTTTTGAAAGCTATTAAAGGGGAAGGTGAGGGTGAATGAAGATCAAGCATCGGGACAGTGAGAGTTAGAGAGAAGAGAGAGAGATAGAAAGAGAAATCTCTTTCTTTATGTGTTTCTTTGGTTAGAAAGCGATCTCCTCTTTATAATCTTCTCTTTTGTAATTAGTGAAGTTCTATGTTGTTCTCGTCCATAAACGTAGGTCATACTGACCGAATCACGTTAAATCCTTGTGTGTTGTTTTTTTATCTTCACTGTGTTTATTCAGTGTTATTATTCTCCACTCGTGTATAAACATTTTTCGTGTCTGTGAAGCCCCCGCTGCAACATTAGCGAACCTCGATGAAGGGATCACATTCAAGACATACGAATCTATTATGTTCTAAGACTTAATTAGCATGTAATAAGTCTTGACAGCAATGTATAAATTTTTCTTAAAGAAAATCTAGATCCTAAAATAAATAAATAAATAAAGAACTCGTAGTGCCTTAACTTAGTCAAGCCCCAGCCTGCAAAAGCCATGTTTAAAACAGAGTATTTTAGAAAACACAGACTACCAAATACAATCTATAGTTTTATTAGGTGTTATCCCAAACATCTCACTAATGACATGTTTGTTTGCACGGAAGTAGTCAAGAAGTAACTAAAATAAAGGAAGTTTCTTCTACTTTTAAGTAAAAAATTATGTTTGTTTCTCTGAAAAGACTACTTCAGCTACTTTCATAAATGCAGATGTAGCTTTTAGGTGGCACTCCTACTTCCTAGATTTTTTTCCTTCCTTGAATGCTCAGAAGTAGAGGGGAAATGGATGAAAAGTGGGGTCCACTTAAATTAGAATTCTACCAAGGGCAGATGATCTTAAATTGATTCTCTTAAAAATAATCAAATATCAAAGCAACATTCCCACACGTCATCTCTCTCACAAAGGCTTGATTTTTGTGTCTTGCTGCTAGAATCTTTTAATATGAATCATCATGTGCATACATGATTTTTATTTGGAGTTAAAATTGAAATTAGTTTTTTATACATGCATCGGTGAGGTGGCGGCTAAAATCGATTTGTTTTGCATAAAATTGATGAGGCGGTGGTTCTCTGAGTTTTGGAACACATTCGCATACCTCTTAATGACTTCTCATGAGTAAAAATCTTGAGAAAAGACCGTTCAAATCAAATGTACAACAATTGTTTGTTTGCATCTTCAAGTATAATGAGATTCATGTATCAGTTGATGATTTGGATGGTTAATTTTTTAGTTAATAGCGAGAATGTGAAGTAATTATACCATGGTATACATATCAATTACATCCTCTACTTCAATTATAATCTAAACAAGAATAGTATGAAAGTTACGTGTATTAGTTACTTCCTAATAATATATCTAATTTCTATCCAAACAAACAAATAAAAGGTGATGATGAAGTACCATTTCCGCTACTTCTAAAAAGTACACGAAACAAAATAAGTACTACTTCCACTAATACTTACGTCCATCCAAACGGGCCCTAAATGAAGTGAACAGAATTAAATCTAAATCAACAACTAATTCAAACAAAAAACTCAAACCAAAAAAAAAAAGAAAAGAAACAGAGAAGAAGAGAGATCACCTGCATATTGACTTTGAGCACATCTAGGGGAGTAATGGCGAGATGGGTGGTCCCCGCGCTGAGCATCCCGCCGACGGCGCAGACGGCGTAGTACTCCGGCGAGAATACTCTCAGCCCGTTCTTCCCAAAATACCCTTTCCATTTTCCTTGGACCTCTCCCATTTCTCTTTTAATTTGGGAAATCTCAAACCCTAATCGCTCTCATTTAATCAAAAGTCCAAGAAGACTCTTGAGAGAGAGGGAGAGAGGCGGCGGTGTTTGTGGAGAATAGGAATCGGCCACGTCGGCAACAGGAGGAAGCCATGGACAGAGATCGCTTCCTAATTGGCCACAGCTCAAAGCCCCCGACTCCTAAACCCTCGGAACTCTGAGGAGTGTTTACTTAACTAACCTCGGATTGTCGTGTTAGAGCCAGGTGGAGGCGCAATAAGAGGGGCACTTAAGTAAAATCGATGCCTACATGATCGTGGGCGAATTGGGGCCGTCGCACTTTTTTGCGCCCGCTGCACCGCTGAGAACCAGCCGCGTTTCTCGTGAAGTGAAGCTCGGGCTCGTTTGAAAACAAATTAAACTTTAAGCTACCGTTTGGCAAAGGTTAAGTAAGGGGCTAAGGGAATTTAACATTTTCTTAACCCGTGAAACATAAAAAATCTATACAAGGATTAAAGTGAGTTAATCCTTCATAATTTGTCAAACATAAAAAATATAGAAGGGTTAAGCTAACCCTTCTAGAGGGATTAAAATGAGTTAACCCCTCAAAATGAGGGGTTTACTAATACTCTTATTTAGAAGGATTAAGAGTTAACATTTCTAATTACAAAGAAAATAGTCAAAATCATTGTTATTCCCAAACACTAAAACAAATTAAAATGGCTAAAATAAAACTTATTTAACGGGTTAATAATTTAGTCAAATTTAGTCCTACAGATTATTGAATGAGCTAAGTACATTAATCATTCTCTTTAACCCCTCTTCCTTAACCCTTTGCCAAACGGGGCCTAAAGGGTACTTTCAGATGCCAAGCTAGCTTATCCACGTCACCGATCCGAGTGGCGAGCAAAGCACCAATCTCGACCATGCATACAATATTGGGGAGTTTGTATCAATTTTTTTTTTTGGATATACGTTGGATTGCAAATTCTAGGATGAAAAAATGAATTTTTTTGAGTTTATAGATTCCATAACATTTGTTTAATTCAAAGTAAATTTTGGGATATTGAATACCCAAATAATAAAAAACTAATATATTATAACATTTATAAAATCCACTCTTTGAGAGAGGATTTAGGCTAGATTTCAAATTCTAAAATTTATATTGCTACAATTTGAATTTGAAACAAATAAGTACAAATTATAGGATTACATATCCCAAAATATTGATGAAACAAACAACATTTTAGAAATTTTAACCCATGTTAAAAAACCTATGGATTTCAAATCTCATGGTGAAATCCATATCCTAAAATTATAGGATTTGAAACAAACACTCCCTATCTCGATCCATGTTTTAGCGCTCAACATTTCGTCATTTTCTGAACTCCCCCAAAATTTCAAACTCCCTCCCCCTCAAGAAAAACCCCCAAATCCGCCGCTTCTCTCACAGGATCAAAAAAATAAAAAAAATAAAAAATAAAAAAAGACAATCAGTCACAAGAAAGATATTGAAAGAAAGAGAAAGAAAGGGGGCGATGTCGGGGCGGAGGAAGGGGCTGGGGAAGGGGGGAGGGGCAAAGAGGCGGCAGGCGAAGGTTGCCGAGTTTTTTTTTACTTTTTTGTTTTTTTTTTTTTTTTTTTTTTTTTTTTGGTTTTTTTTATTTTTTTCTGTTTTTTTTTTTTTTTTTTTTTTTTTTTTTTTTGTTTTTTTTTTTTTTTTTTTGTTTTTTTTTTTTGTTTTTTTTTTTTTGAGCGGGACAACATTACTAGGTGATCAGCGAGAAGCCCGGCATCGCGCACGGCTCGCGGCAGCAAGGGCGCGAGGGTGAAGAAGGATCAGGCAGCCTCCTCAAGATCTTCCTCGAGAACGTCATTCACAACGTCGTTATTGTAGGTTGTCTACAAATCACAATAGATAGCTGATCCCCGTCAAGTTTCAATGATGGAAGTTACAATCTGACGACTTTCATATCTCAATGATGAAAGTTACAATCAGATAACTTTCATGTTAACAAATGAAAATTGTAAATGGAGGACTTTTCACATAGATCGAGAAGAGTTATAATTTAACGACACTTCCGACAACTAATAAAAACTCTATTCAGTGGTCTTCACAATCAACTGTGAGAGTTACAATCTGACGACTTCAACACCCCACAAACAGCTAAAGTAAAGATTACTGAACAATGGTCCTTGCAACGCTTTACAGAAGAGGTTACAAGTCAACTAGCCTCTTCTAAACGTGGAATTTATCTTCGCGTTTTAATTCTTGAAACGCATGTGACCCCCGCATTTCCAATCCTCAGCAAACAAAATGAGGGCGGTCATCGCGTTTTTCAACATCCAGCGGCTATCCAACTCCGCGTCTCCAGTCTAAGACGCGGAGTTAAGGTTTGAAATGCTGATTTGGGCGTTTGACTCATTCAAATATGAGTCGAACGGTTTCAGAACCGTTTTTTCCACGATTTAAGGAAATAACGTCCACTTAGGAGCGGATTAAGGGGACAGTTATAACCCCTCAAAAAACTCAACAGAGAAAGAGGTTCGGCTTTTAGGAGATTGGTGGGTGAAGAAGAGATCGGATTTCTCACAGAGAGAGCGTCGACTGATTCTTCTTGGATTGTCGGCAACAGGAAGATCTGATCTTGGAACATCTTTCAGCAACAAACAAATCCACTTGGCTATTAACCCAATTTTCGGTTCAAACAACTCTTTTCACAGAGTTTCAACTCACTCTGAGTTCTTAAACTCGTTAAGAGTTCTCCATCAAACTTGCCACACAAGTTAATTGTGCCCGCGAGACAAGACGGTCGGATCGTCAACGGAGAGCAAATTCGATGTGAGCATTCGAAGGAAGCACTCCATCGCTACTGTGAAGAACCCATAATTAAACAAATGGGAGAATCCGGATCATTCTCCTCTCTTTTGTAATCGAAATTCAAATTGTAATTAAGGTCGAGAGAATACAAGTCAATTTTTTTTCATTTTATTTACTATAAATTTTCCACCAAACAGTCACCTACACCGAGCACGCCAGGAGAAAGACTGTCACCGCCATGGACGTCTCGTCTACGCCCTCAAGCGCCAGGACATGACCCTCTACAACTTCGGCGGCTAGCGGCCTTCTACCCCCCCCGGGTGTTCGGGTGTAGACTTGGCGGTTTGCTCACGTTGTGTAATCTTTTGGATATGGAATGGAAATATTTCCTCTCTTTTGGGCTTGAGCTTTGGTGGGCTTTTCAAAAGCAACCACTAGCTGATGTTTTTCCAGGGGCGTGTGTGCCTTGTATTGGGCTTGTATTTTAGCATGAATTCACTAGGTTTTTGTTGTGCTGAGGGGGGGAAGAACATAACCATTATTAGATGATTTTAATATTGAACAGTATTTTAATTCAATTATTTAGAAGCGACAGTGAAAATTAATTCTAGGTGTTTTTTGCACATGTATTCCTCACATCTACAACATTTACAAAATTGCCCGTCAAATTTCGTTTTTTCTAAAATTACCGCTCGAAACTAGCATATTGGATATCTCTATTGCTCCAACTTAGGAATGCTACTTTTTAAACTAGATAATTTCAAAATTCCCAATAGTTTCCAATAGGTATGCAACAATTTCTTGTTTAATAGCTAAAATTGGTACGTAAAAGGAGTAAAAAAATTAATGTGAGAGAATTGAGGAGCAATTTTATAACTACCAAGTAGATTTAGAGGGTAATTTTGCAAATAGAGAAGATTTGAGGGGTATATATATGGAAAAAAAGATGTGCATCTTATTTTAGTAGTGTGCAACGCTCACAAATCCTGTTCTATTTATAGGGGGTACAAAGTGATATAGAGGTTCATTTCCCCCCCCTAACTACAGTTCTAGTGCACATTACTTGAACTCACTAAAAAAGCGCAATCATTTCACAAATCATGAAAGTAGGCTATAATAGATGCTGACAGCTTCGATGCTCCAATAAATCAATTTTTGAGCACTGAATCGCAAACTTCGCTCTTTTCTGTTCATGTAAGGTCCTATAATTTATTTTGTAAAGTTCCACACCAATACTTGTAATTTACTTTTAAGGGGGTAGTAAAAAAGATCATGAGGGGGTAGTAAAAAAGATCATGAGGTTTGCTTTGGTGCTCCAATAATAGTAGTTTCTTTTAATTTTAATTTGACAAAAAATGGAAGTTAGGTAAAAAGAGGAAGGGTACCTTTGTCTTCCCATATTTTTCTTCCCATCTATTTCTCTTTGCCAAAACTACAATTCTCCCACTTCCTTTCTACCAGATCGATAACTAATTAATCACTTAAAGTTGAAGAAATTATTTATACAAGAAGAATGAAAAAAAGGATATTTTAAAATTTATCTATATGGTTATTGAAGATCGGTAGAAAGAAGAATAAAATAGTTAGATTTGGAACTGTTATGGTGTTTTCAGTCGTCAAAGTACGACCCTTTGCTAGCTACGGACAGATGTCCTCCTTCATGCACCACTCAAGCCAAATTGATGGTCAAACAGCCAAGGATCCCGACGTAGCTGACCCGTCGAGTCAACATCTTCTTATGTCGACACGAATGGCGGTACTTGTCGATCATCTTATCAAAGACGACTCGCAACGAGCCCACTCAACTTGTTATTCGACGCCTCACAAGGTCGACTGGAAAGCCGTCAATTCTCAGTGAAGCTATAGAACGGCTTCAGCCTCGAGTCTCTCCCATTGACAGCACATCGGTGTCGTGTTTAATGTTTGGCGGGTGCATCATATCTCTAGCCCCGATAGTCTTCATGACTCATCGGACCACGTCAGCACTGTTATGCCTCCGATCACTTCCAATTTAATGTTGAAGTGATCTCTCCTCCACTCACCGATCGACACATGTAAAGTATGTGCTGACGCAGCTGCTAGCCCATACTTCTTTATCGCCATCCTGTACTCGGCCGAAGTGATTATTCTACCCTTCTAGCACCACTATAAATACAGGTACTATTCTCAACGAGAGGGGATTCATGTTTCTAACATCTAAACTTTGACTCTTGAATATCTGCTAATTATACTGTATTACGCACAAGAACTCTCACAATTTTTCATTTCGTCACTCAAGTTCACTAGCTGACTTGATCGTCGGAGGTACAACGGGGGAACCAAGCCCCATCCTCTCATGAGTTTCTACTTTGTGCAGGCTAAAAGCTACTATACTCAAAACCAGATATTTGGAGAAGTAAGCGGCCCCTCATCAATCTTATCCCGAAATATTTGATTGTTTGGTTAACCATCATCAATAGTTTGGCGCTCACCGTGAGGCCTCTTTCTTTTTCGAGAAAACGTGTCTGGTTATGCAGATTGGGCTAACCAGTCTCACCCTGTAGAGCCACGCCAGA